TCCGGCCGCGAAGCCCGCCCCTCTCAGAGAATTCCAGCCCGGGTAGCCCGCGAGGGGCCCGACGTTAGCCAGCCTTCCAAGCCCGTGCTTCAGCCCACTCTTTCTTATGCAATCGGCCTGATTGAACCCGCGATCTGCCAGCGGAGCCCACTTGCAAGCGGCCCAAGTGTGGAACGCGCAGCCCAATGCCTATAAGCAGCCCGAGCGCGTTCCTCCTCCTCAACTCCCTTTCAGTCCGGCCCAGCGAGGTATTTTAATGGCTAATTGATTCCTGCACGGCCCAAAATGCTGCTACCATGGTCCAAACAGCTCTAGTTTGATCCCAAGGCTATTTTGGGATGATTCAACACGCACAGGAGGTAATTTGAGATAATGTTCTCATGAGGAAGGTATAGAATTAACTTAAAATATGGGTATGAGGGACTTTTGAATTGGTGGAAATGAGGTAAATTGCTTGATTTAAATTGAACAATTTGGAAACTTGATGATTCAAATTGGTGAGAATTGGAGATACTTGATTTGCTCAAGCGATTATTTGATTCGTGTGTGGAATTATGTGAATTATTTGAGAAGGCTATTTGATATATCCATGAGGATTATTTGACTAATTTGTGGAGCATTATATGGTTTATTCGAGGAGAATGCATGGTTTATTAATAGAGGATTATTTGCATTATTCGTGGATATAGTTAATTGGTTCGTGTGGTGATATTTGACTTGATCGTGAGAATATTTGACTTATGCATGGAGGATTATTGGATTTGCTCGAGCGATTATTGTGTTTATCTGAGGATGATTATTTGATTTGCTCGAGCGATTATTGGATTTATTCGTGGATGATTATTTGATTTGCTCGAGCGATTATTGGATTTATTTGTGGATGATTATTTGATTTGCTCGAATGATTGTCGGATTTGTTTGTGAATGATTATGTAATTCGCTCGAGCGATTATGCGATTCATTCATGGACATATTTGAATTTCTGTCGAGGAAATGAAAAAATAAACCAAGTCTCGACAAGCTATGGCGGACGAGCTGTTGAGTGTCGAGGACAAATGAACGAACATGGATCCATCTAAGGAGGGTGACAAGCGGGGACGAGCCTAGAT